CGCAGCGATATGCCCCTTTGACATCTCTTCATTTGCAAATAAATCTCGATGTGAAAAGCTAACGATGTGGGTTCGATTCCCGCTATCCTCCCTATCATGTGTATCTTCTTTTGAAGAATTGTGAGTCAGCTCAAGAGATGATGGATACATTAATAGTTTCATAGGAAGGCACTATGGAAGTTTAAGCCACAATCATCAACAACCTTAATCAGAGATATGCTCATTTCTTCACTCAATAAGGTGAGTCTCTAACCTAAACCATTATCATGTTTAACGGCTTAGTTAATGATATGCGTAGGCTGGGAATCGTCAAGCATTCCTGTCAGTTGGTTTGAAAGTTCCTGTATTCTATTAGAAAAGTTAGGAATATCATGTTGACGTCCTTAAGAATGGTGAAAAGATCAATGCCATGGATCAAAACTCTTTGTTTGGAAATCTACGAAATTACGAAGAGACCAAAGGTCTTCGTAAATAAATCATGAAGGAATCAAGCAAGGAAAAGTTTGTAGCCTCTTGGTTTCTCGAAAACGAAGCAATAAATCACATCAGCGACTCATAGAACTCAGATTGGAGTGAAGAGAGTGGTGATGATATCAATGATGAACTTATTGCCAGCGCTGCACTTATTGTCATACGTTACAAAGAAAGCAGATCAAATGGGGTCGAAGAGCTCAGTTTAAGGGAGGCAGTCCAGTAAGGACATCCACTTCAGAGAAGAAAAACTCAGGTAATTGTTTTAACTGTGGAAGCCCTGACCATTTTTCCAGGGACTTCAAAGATAAGAAAGAAGCTCAAAGTCCAAAGAATTATGAAATTATGTACAAGAAGTTGTTGGCCCTCATGAAGAAGCAGAACATCTCTCTACCAAAAGTTTTAATTGTTGGAAAGAGGATCGTGAAGAATGTGTGGAAGAAGAAGAGACATCTAAAAATGAGGGGCTAAATATTAAGGGTCTAATGGCTCTTATCAATGATTCCCTTGATGCTAATCTCAACACGTATGGCACTAATACCTCTCAAGCTGTCAAAGGATCAAATCAAAATCTATAGCATACTTGGTTCCTAGACAGTGGGTTCTCTAGACGCATGACCGGTCTCAAGTCCCTATTAACAGATGTTGTGAAGAAACATGGCCCTATGGTGGTTTTTGGCGACAACAATGAAGAAACTTTCATGGGCGTTGGAACTTTTGAGTGCAGGTCGTTCAACCTGAAGGATGTGTTCTATGTCAAGGGTCTAAAAAGCAATATTATCTCTATCAGTCAACTTTGTGACGCTGGTTATAAGGTTCTCTTTGATCTCCATTAAGGAAAGGTTTTTTACTCTAAGAACAAATTTGTGTTTGCTGCACTCAGTGATAACAACATTTATATTGTTTGATTTTACTTGTTTAGGCAATGCTACTTTATGCTTCACTACTTTAAAATTTTTGAACATAAGGTGCTAGAATATTAGTTTTCTATGACTTTTGGCTTCAAAAATTCCTTTTAACTTTTATTTTTACGAAAGAAATATACATTGTACATTTTACTACTAGTGTTACCTATGTATGTTCTTCTCTATCGTTAGTGACCTTAACCGATTTGTTCCTTTATAAAGGATCGGTGTGTCATTCCTTTAGGGTAACATCTTCTTAGTAGAACTAGTAGACGCTGACTTTTCATCTTTTCTTCGGCACCAACTGCTCTCTCCCTGATGTTGATACTCATGTTTATTGACATGTTGCATCTTGTTGATGAGATCAGATTGGAGATAATTGTGCCAAAAATGTGTTCTTCTGGACACATATCTCTTCCGTCTTGAACAACCCATTTCTATTGCAATGGGATGAAGTGAAGTTAGTTAACATAGCACATCTAATTTCCATTGACTTTGTCACTACAACACCATTCCCCTCAAAAATCTAAAAACATCTTCAACAAGACAGCGATCCCACATTCTCTTCTTTCACGTGTCACAATGAGTGGAACCTTCGAGTTTGGTCATGGTGAGTCTCATAACTCAAAGTTTACAAAGATTGGATCCTCTTAACTTGTTGGTTACAAAGACAGGTTCATGTTCTCTTTTTATTGGTGAACATGAAGCTTGGAATCAATCGGTAATATCTCAAGGATTAAAGCTATTCTCTCTCTTTATTTACTATGAACTGTGTTTTTGTTTGATATATTTAATCTTGTTTGCTATCTTTTATAGACACTGGTGACGGGTAGATATCTCGTAAAATGGAAGTACATTCACGACCCTTCAATTCGAAATATTTGATGGATCGAGTCTTTATCATGTTTTTAAAAAAAGCTACACAAACATCGCCTTTTAGAATATTTCCTTGATTGACTAACTCTTTTGTTGAATTCTTATATTATTTATTATTTTTTCTTGTACCATATTAAATGAATCAATGGTGAACTTTAAATTTCTAGACTGCAACTTAACTCTACGATATGAAAGTTAAACCATTTCTTGTTGATGAGTTAACACCGTTTATGATTCACGTTGATTCCACCTCAACGTGACTGAAACAATCCATTATTTCTTTAATTTCTTCTTAATAAAACTTTTTGATTCACTATGATATACCACACACTGATAAAAGTTTGAAACATTTTGCCGGCGGTTAGTTTATGTACTGTAGATTATCACACACACCAATCCCCTTTTGCCCTTACATTCTCCTTTAAAGCTTTATGATTCGGTGCAATGTACCAAACGCTGATGAGAACTTGAAAAATCTATGTTGATGCTTAAGCTATAACACTACAGCTTATCACACGCATCAATCCATTCTCTCCATATATTCTTCTTTAGAATTTTATGATTCATCATATGAAGCCAGAAGTTGATGAGAATTCAAAAACTCTATGCCAGTGGGTATATCATTGTCCGTGATATATTACATGCACCTACCCACTCTCTCCTAACATATCTTCTATTAAGAAGTTAATGATTCACTGTATTAGCCATACACTGATAAAACTTCGACACTCTTTTCTGATGGGTACATTTCATACGGGAATGTATTACACGCATCATACCACTCTTGCTCTTTTTTCTTAAAATAAAAGTGATTAATGAGTCAGAGTATGAAACCATATGCAGATGAAATCTAGCAATACTATGTCAGCAAATGATAGTTCAAACCTATACTATTAGAAGACATCACAAACTTATCGGCTTACAAGCTGCAACTCTGATACGCTGATTGCTTCCACTGATGATCATTTTCATTGATGCTATGTCTCACTGACGTAACTTCCTTATCTCAACGATAACTTTTAGATAACAATTAAAAGATATATCAATATATTGGGATGTGAGATTTGTATGGAGTCGATCACTTCAATCATTGGTTACGTAAAAGCGAAGAAAATTTACAGATAAATTGGGAAAATTCTCTCCTAGGTCATTCTCACAAGTCATTCAAGCAATTGGTTCTCTCTCGAAAAGGGCACTCTCAACCATCATCTTCCTCAAGCTCTCATCATGTCAAAGCCACTATAGGAAATTTTCCCTAACTCTAATGCCATCAAAGGTCCTCATGCCCCTGATTCTCCCATCATCATTCAAGCAAAAAATGTGGTGTTATCTAATGGCATCCCAAAATAGTTCGTGAACTTAGGAATCGAAGGCTTTCTCGACTATGTCAAAAGCTACCCTCTTCGATATGCCTTCAGCGAGTTCCCAAATCCATTCTACCCTTAGCAAGTATCTGAGTTATATTATTCCTGCTTTGTTGATTCTAATGCTCAAACCATTACCAGAACCATTGGATATGGTCAATATTGGGTTACTATTTATTTGGAATCTTTTCGAACTGTTCTTCGTCTTCCTCACCTAGAAAATTATTCTTAAACACACTATTTGTCAGCGTTTTAGTGTTGGGTGGAAGTACATAATAGGGGTTATTAGCAAATGCCTTGGACACAAAACTGGGATCTTGAATCAACTAAATCTCTTTGAGCAAAGAATTTTGTTTTCCATTGTGTGCAACAAAAGATTAGATTTTTTTCAACTCTTTCTTGATCAGGCGATTGATTGTATCACTGGGAACAAGAAGCTAGTGTATGTTCCCTATCCCCATTGGCTTGGACTGATTTTGGCTCATGAGGAAGGCTCTATTGAAAATCATGGGATCATCATTCCAATTCTTTCCCTCTCCTCAAAGATCATCAACGCTACTCCTTCTAAAGATGATTTGCATATCACCCAGATAATGCAAAAATGGATTGCAAATCCCTATGTTGTTGAATCCTATGACTCTGAAGAAGAGGATGGTGAGGATGATAATGAAGAAGGTGTTGATAATGATGAAGATAGTGATACAGAAGAAGAAACTGATGATGAAGAAAACGAACTAGCCACTGATAAGGGAGAAGACCTTGTTCAGGGACTAAACTCTCCTCCAAGTTTGAACAAGCATATTCGATTCTCATCAGCTTCTTCATCCACTCCCTCTACAGATGATGTTGTACAATGTGGATCAACCCCACCTCTAGTGGAAACTATTGAGCCACTGATCCAAGTGTGATTTCTCCAAGATCAGCATCTCCTTCTCCTCAAGTAGAGATTGTTCCTCCTATGCCAACATCTATTAAAACTGCTACTTTTTATCAGGGGAAATCCAACTCCAATTTTGAAACAACTGTGCTTTATCAACTTTCTCTACTGGTGCAGATAACTCAGTCCTTAGGAGAAAGGCTGACTAGAGAGGAAAAGGATGTGGCTTACATGAAACACATTATGACCTTGGTTGATGATGATGATATAGTTATTGATGACATCCCACCAAACTCTCCAAGTGATAATCCTCCTCCACCTCTACCTCCATCATCGAATCCTCCTTCACTACCTCCTTTACCAACTCATCCTCCTCCTCATACTCCTTCACCACGTTCTGTCTCTCATCCCCAATCTTATGCTGCCAAAAAGGGGGAGAATAGTCAAGAGGGTCCTGATCAACAAATTCAAATGGTGGTGATTGCATCAACTCCATCTTAGCCTGAGATGTCTGAAGCTGGAAGGGTTGAAGTTAACTGTCAAAAGGAAATTGTTATTGCTGCACAAGAAAGCAACATTCCAGATGTTGATGCAACAACTGATGATCAGTCTATCCTAGAAGCTCGTGATCAATCAAAGATTGATGACTATGAAGGGTTTCTTGATCTAGGATTCATACCAAAAGTTGTTGTTCCTTTGAGTATTGGCCTACCCTGATTCGTACTTTGAGGGGGAGATTCCTCATGGAACTAACAGTGATATAGAGTCTAATGATGATCAGCTCAATCCTCGAAAAAGGAAGGCTTCCCACTCAGGGGGAGCCTATGACGCTAAAGCTGGAAGCTCATCTGCTGCTGGTGATCATTCAACTCCTCCTCTTTCAAAGAAAAGCAAGTTCACCATTGATCTTAATGCTTTAGATGAAGAATGGGATATAAATGTTGATGAAGTAATAGAAATCATGATAGAGAACAATTTTTCTATTCGTGAAAGAAAAGAAGCTAGGAAAGGATAACGTCTGTCCTTTAAACTTACTCAAGTTATTGCTTCCGCTGAGAAAAGTGTTGATGTTGAAAGCACTAATGATCAAATCAAGAAAGTTCAGCTATTCAATAATAGTGTGGACAGAAAACACAGGGTTTTAGAGAGCAGAATGGAAGGGTCAATAAATAGATGTTTGAAGATGTTCTGAATCGTAGAACAAAAACCGATCCCATTATAAGGGTGAGGTGCACTAAAGCAAGGAACGAGTTATTGAAGCTTCACGTGGTCAGGAAGAAGACTGAGTATGAATAAACTAAGGTTGTATTTACTCGTGAGCTAGTCAAGCTTGGCTATAGAAAGTGGATATAAATTCAATAAATTATTGACAAGCATAAAGGTATTCATGCTCAAGAGGTGAAATTAGCAATTCAGTAGCTTCTCAACAAATTCAAGAAGCTGAATCTTCTGCCATTAGTCAGTTCTTCTAGACCATCCACCTCAGAAAGAACAGGCGCCCAGAAGATCCAAGAATACTAAGTTTCTTCTTCCATAGGGCACTCATTACATCAACAATGAACTATTAGTGGGTGTTGAACCTATTCAATACATGTTCATTCGAGAGCCATAACATGGTATCTTTCATCTTCATAGTCAAAATCACATGTGTTTTCACCGCACTGGTGGTCTTCCCTCTACAGGCACTAAAAACCTATTTCATCTTCGTATGGAAGGAATTAGTAATAAAGAACTTGAAAGAGTATATCGTTTGCTAATCTCTTTGGATCTTAGTAAAATATTGGAAGAACTTAAATCCTGAAATCTTGAAAGAAACTGACAAGTTCTACAATGGTTCTTTTGATGACTCCTCTGAAGAAGAAGATTAGTTTTCACATCATCAAATAGAAGGAGATTGTAAGCTCATACCTTATGATCTGGTGAGTCAAACACTCTATACCACCAACACCTCAAGCCATATCAGCGTCATCTTGTAGATTGTGATCTTTTGTAATCTTTATATATTAGGTAATTACAGATATATGTATAGAATAGATAGCAAATCTAATATCTTTCTGATGAGGATCAGTTCTTTGTATAGATTAGATACAATCCCTTCAATCAAGGGATATACTTGTATAGTTTGGTATATATTCAACATTAGGGTGAAACCCTAATGTTAACGTCTTGGTAACCGTCTTTATGACAGCTCGTTTTCTTGGTGAAAAACAATTTGGTGAATTCTTTGTGTTCTTTACTTTTTGTAACGATGTAAATTCTCAAACAATTTTTTTCATTTTTAAACACAAATAAACTTGTTTCATAATTCTCAAAATCACATGTGTCTTAAATGTCAACAATTAAAACAGAATCCCAGAACCATAAAAATAATCTCCTGCCGGTGTGTACATTCATGTCGGTGCCTTGCCGCGATCCTTGGAACTACCTGAAACACATAACACATAACACGGTAAGTATAAATGCTTAGTGAGTTCCCCAAAATACCACACACAACGCATTAGACACTCGAGGCTATAACTCAATAAGACCCTCTGGTCGATGTGTCTCAGTGGACCCTCCGATCCCACAACTCAGATGGACCCTCCGGTCCCTCGACTCAGCATCACAATATAATACACAAAATGCATAACACAAATAAATAGCATGATATCTCATTACATAGCCCATGCGTATACGACCCTCTGGTCACACATAAAAATTACCACTCAAGGTAAGTATAGTGAGAAGACTCACATCGTAAGCTAGTGAATGAAAATCTCGCACTCGGGATCTTGATCTCTACTCCCCGTTCTAGCTCCCGCCTAACACATAATAATTATCCCTAATTAATATTGGCCCTCAAGAAGCTAGACTAACCTTTCAACAACTCACAGAAGGGTAAAAGACCATTTTACCCCCTCCAAAGCTTAATAGTCATCAATCTTAACCAAACCCTAAAAGTCAACAGCAAGGAGTACATTGAGCGTTCCAACTCCCTACGTTGGGCGTACTCGGCTGCTATCCAGAAATAGGGTGCTCATCCCTTACACGGCACGTACTGAGGATTACACCCAATGTACTCCCCGGTTTTACTCCTCTCATACTCATGGTCTTAATCAATTAAGACATAAGGTCATATCTCAGATCTGAACCTTCTAATGCCTCTTAATCCATAAAGTCATCGACTTTAAGCCTTTGCATGGCTAAAAAGTCTCCATTCTAAAAATACATACTCATTTGTCCCAAGGGTCCCATAAATCATGCATGGAGTGATTTCACCAACCAATATTGGATTTTTATGGCATAACACTACTCATACACTCAAAAGGGGTTGGTCCTAGACTCTGGAGTTCAAGATCTCATCAAGACTCCACCTTTATGGGACAAAACCCTAGAATGCTCATCACAACATACTCAAGAAAAGAAAGGTAAAGTCTGAAGCTTTATACCTCAAATAAAAGCTTCCCACCTAGATTTGCTCAGATCTAGAAGATTGGACTCCAACTCTCTTGCTTCAAGCCCTTCTATTCTCTTCAAAACCTCACAAACACCCTTAAAAAGCTCAAACACACACACAAGCTCTAGGACGGAGGTAAGGGAACTCTTAGGGTTTTCTCTTTGGAAATGGTGGCCAGAAACAAGGCGATCATGTTCCTTATATAGGGGACTCACCTCAAATTAGGATTGCATTTTGGGCCTAGTACACCCAGCGTACCCACAGGTACGCCCAACGTACTAGGTGGTCTCCGCGTTGTATGCACGCTGACGAGTACGCTAAGCATACCCTAAGGTATGCCATGCATACTCATTTTCAATATTTTTATAATTTAGGCCAAAAATGACAATAGCTCAAAAGATCAAGGTTCTAGAGGTATACCTGGGCTTGGGATGTTACAAATTTTCTATTATTTATTTTCTTAGTTTAGTTTGTTTTTGTTTGTTATACTTGAAGTGTATCCGATCGATACAAAACTTCAAACTTGATCTCTTTGGGTGTCTTATAGATAAGGTTGGAAACTATATCCATTTATACCATATAATGGAGTACATCTTAGTATTAGAACTCCTGGAATCGAATAAAATGACTTAACCCATTAAGTTGTTAGAAACCCAATACCCATAACTTGGCCTTAGGTTGCCATGACGTGGTGAATGGGAAATGCCCTACTGTTTTGATTAATTGAGGGACACGGCATGGTCATCGATGTCCACGACATGGCGGTTGATTGAATTCAACGTTGACCATTGACTTAAACCATTCACTTTTTGACTTGAGTTGACTTTTGGTCAAATTATTAGTTGTGGAAGTAGAGTTAAGGGCTTACCTGGTATAACTATATAGGTGGTGTGTAGTATCGCTTTTTTTGGCGGTAAGAGCGGTAGCAACTGAGTATCGATTGAGATGCGAGTCTCTTCACTGTACTTATGGGTAGAACGCACCAATGTTGACCAATTAGATTATGTTTGTAGGATGTTAGTTGTCTTTGTGACTCTTGCATGTGTTTGTATGTATGTTGGGCGGGGCCCATGTTATGTATGTTGGGTGGGGCCCATTATGTATTACAGGCGGGGCCTGTTAGCTGAGCGAGGCCCGATGAGTACCAGACGGGGCCCAATATATGTATGGTATATGGTATTTTAGGTAACTCACAAAATTTTTTTCTTACGGTTTATGTTTATGTTTCAAGTACTTCCGGTTCGAAAAGGAAGAGCTCGACATGATTGCATCGCATCCATCGACATTCCACATTTTATGAATTGTTTTGTACTCTAATAACTATTTGATATTTTCTATACTTTGATAGGATTTTAGAATGAATGCATGGTTTGGTGTTTGGCTTAAAACAAAAGGTTTTACTTAGAAATTATGGGATGATACAAGTTGCTTGGTTTGATGGATACGGACACACTCTCGGGTGTGTATGAGCTCAAACTAAGGAATTGGTAATATTTTTGAAAGAAAATGAATCATTGATGTGAAATCGAACCAAAACAAGCATTAGTGTTTCCTTAGGTTGTATATCTAAGTCCACAGAACACACATGCAACAACAAATTTAATAACAAAAGAACAAATTTTGACAATTCCATCTCAAGAACAAACCCTAATTTTCAATGCACAAAATTATTAAAATTAACAAGATTAGAGTATGGGAATATTACCGAAATTAAAGATGGAACACAAAATTAAGAAAAGGTTGAGAAAATCAGTGGCAAAATCGAAGTGTGTGGACCAATATTCTTTTCCATTTGTGAGTGGTTTCTAACAAAGTGATAGTCAAATGTTTGAGGTTGTGTATAAAATGGTCCCCTCCATGTTTTTTAAATCTCACATTGTGATCTATAGAGCTCACATCGTGAGTTTCAAACTGATTAAAAGTATGGTATAATTTTATTCCCATGTCGTGGTACTTAATCCCACGTCGTGGTTTTGAGAATTTTGACCAAAAACATTAATTTTTCCATTTAAAAATTCTTACGATTCTTGAATTTAACGCCACACTTGATTTTTTACTTTTCTTTTAAAATTAAGATGAGTATGATGACTTATCCTAAAACTTAAATTAAAATGAAAAACTAAATAAAAAGAGAATGAAAATGCAAACCGAGTTCGGGTTGCCTCCCGAGAAGCACTTCTTTTAATGGAGTCGTGAGCCAAACTCCTTTCCTACTCTAATTTGTTGCGGGTGGAAGTGTCATCTCCATTTTCTCTTTTTGCTCCTTCCACTTTTTTTAGTAAGATTGCACCCGTCTTATATATGGCTTCCTGGAATTTTCTTTCTTTGTTTGAATGTTACATGCCCCATTCTTTCTTTTAACTCCTTGGGATTTTTTATTATTCGAGCTGTTCACTTGATTTTTAGCGAGTCCCTTTCTGTCTATCTCCATTCTATTAAAATATATGTCCTTTCCTTCTTGATCATCTTCTTCATCACTTGAACTTAGCTCTTTACTCTCACAAACCTCTTTATCTTGTATTTTTGGTGTAGTAAAGGCGAAGACTTCTAATACCATTGGAATTGAGGCTCTTATCTTG